GCAGCAGTGGAGATACTAGTGGTTGTGGCCAGAAGGGGCTGCCATTGTAGGGGCTGCCAGGAAGTGGAGACCAACCAACGCCACATCTCTGCCACGTGCCTGGGGGTGGCTGGCCCAGCTACATACACCATGACCTGGGCTGCCCCCCATGCCTGGGCTAGGCAGAGCCATGGGACCCACCGTTGGCCAAATAAAATCCTTTAGTGGGCCAGATCCAGCCTGCAGGCTATATTTTGCCCACTCCTGCCCCAGTAATAGCCACAAGATATATTGTGGTCTTCTCTTCCCTCATACCCTTTGCCTAGGGAAGTGCATAATTCTTTTCCTCTCAGTCTCTGTTCTGAAAGACAACACGTTTGAGATTTTGAGCAGCTGAGGCCTACCAGATAAACAAGATGCCCAACTTCTTAGAGAGCCTCTCTAAAATCATAGTTTTTTCTTTATTCTGTTTTTATTCCACTTAGCCATCTGAGAAAGAAAAGCTGAAAATTTTCCTCAAGCCTGCAAACTGTGATTCGTCAGCCGCAACATCTGCACATAATACAGTGCCACTAGGTCCTGCCATTTTAGAGGCTTTGTCCTTGTTTGGATCCCTGTCCTTCCTTTTGGAGTCAGTCTTCCTAAGAAGGTAGCAAGAATAACTTGCTCTTACATCTTTGCTTTGGATTTCTCAGCACTGTCTGGGATTGTATCTATATTGCTTGTTCAGTGCCCTGATTCTTGTTTGGTCGTCATGTGGTAGATGTCTTTTTTGCTGTGGAAAAGAACATGTTTCTTTCTATACCTTGTTCTTGCTGGTAGCCATCCTGGTGGTGCGCACTTGGGTGGAGGACTTCAGGTGTTTAAGGTGAATCTTTTATCCACACTTTACCCTGATAAGGTATCCTTGGGACTTACCTGAAATTTCTGTCTAAAAATGTTCTTAGAAAGGTGGTTATGAGTTTTTCTCTGGAGCAACAAATTAATTTGTAAGTCTTCCTTCTGAAGCCTGGTATCTCCCCAGTTGAGGTCTTACTCCATTGTAGGTGTTAGATGAGCTCTAGCAGGCTATATTGAATAAGATAAAAAATTCTTACACTTTTGTATGGCCATTTGTCTTTCTAGTTGAGAGATCTAAAGGCAAAGGGATCTCAAATCAGAAAGTGTTTAACTGGATTTCTGGCTGTGTCAATCTGTACTGTGAAACTCAAGGAAGAACCAACGTTTGTGGTACGGACCTATTTTATCAGAACCAAGGCTACTTCCACGGCCTCCCTATACAGCATTCAGGCCCACCAATGCATTTGTGGGGCTGCTGTCTGGAGCCCAATACGTACCTTTTACCAAGCACCAGACTGTCACAGGAGCCTCCAGGACTTGTTCTGTATTTGATAAGGTGATCCTACAGTTGCTGTTCACTTAGAGAATTTTGAGGCCTGTCTTTCCATATTATCTTGGCGTTGCTTTGGAGTCATCCACAAGTGAGAATAGGTATATGGATAATTATTCAAAGAAGAAAAAAAGTAACTTTACTTTAACTGGAGTTCTTTGAGAAGTGTTGTCCATATATGTATTTGAATCCTGCTTTTCTTCCCTCCTTCTTCAGTCAAATGCAATACAGGATCTGTGGGAAGCATTCACTTCTCTCTAGCCCTTTGCAGGGTTAAAGCATACCCATCATGTCCTAGAAAGACAAGAATTCTTTAACTGAGGGTTCAGGGCATGAGAGGGATCTGCAAGTAAGGATATGCTTGTGGGCAGTGCATTATCAGTAACTGTTCTAAAAAAGAAAATAATAAAATATCCATTGATTTGAAGTGTTAGAAGAGGTGATTCTTTTGTTAGTCTGTCTTCACCCTTCTCTGTTCTAGTATGTATGTAGGTGGATGGATGGATGGATGGATGGACGGACAGACAGAAAGAAGGAAAGAATAGTTTTGCAGCCCAAAATCTACTGATCTCTCACAAGCATTTTTGTTGTTTCTGTGCAGAATTGGAAACCTGAATAAAAGATGTCTGTTCTTGGACTGCTGATTCCTTCTTTCAGTAGGAAGGGGTTGTTGAACTTTGACAGCTGTGCTGTTAGAAAACACATACTATTCTTCATTTTGTCTTTTATGACATTCCATCCTGCTAAGTCATAATATAAAAATAGAAAGAATGATGCAGTTCAGAAGAGGGATTCAAAATCCCGTCTCACTAAATTCTTAAATTTTACTAATTGTTGCCTTAAATGGCTGCTTGCCCAACTACTGGTTGAAGCTCTTGGTTCTGCAATGTGATTAATTGATTTTTTTTATTATTATTATTTTAGTTTGGGACTATACTACAGGGAGAGTGGGAGCACCTTTGGTTTGCTGTGAAATCAAGTTGATGAACTGGGAAGAAGGTAAGAAGACTGTTTATATAATGGAACTTTGGTGTGTGCAAGAACTTTAGTTAGTATTTATTTATTGGGCTGTATAATGTCACTCAGTCCTCTGCATTGTAAATTAAAACTATGCCCTGTACTTTTAACTGGCATTGGAACTGGGCATCTCAAGACTAGGGAGCTGCAACTGGTTCTTTGATGGTCTGATGATCCTCTCAGAATATCTATTCATCAGGAAGTCTTTAGAATTACACAGTAATTTTAAAGGCTGGCTATAGAAAATTATTACTGTCTGCTTCAAGAGGTGGGATAGTATAACAAAATCAGGGAATTGGGCTGACTGTTTTGTTGTTTCAAAGTGAAAGAATCCCAATAATGAGTTTAAATAATACTAGCTTGCTGGATGAATGTGTTGGAGGCAGTCCATTTGGAAGGGCCATTGGAGCCTCAAAGCTAGAGAACAGCCCACAAGTTCTGTTGGAGCCTTGCCTATGTTTCACTGGAAGTTGGTTAAAACAAATAGTGAAACATTTTGGATTCAATGAATTAGCATTTTCCAATGAAACAAAATAAAAAGTTGTCAGTGGATTCTAGAGGTGCACTGATACATCGGTCTGATATTGGATTGGTACCAAAATAAAGAAAGCTAGCTGTATCAGATATCAGTCCGATGGGACCGATAATTTGTCTGATGAATGCCCGTGCTGTGCACAGCTGCAACACAGCACTCAGGCAGCGAGAATCAGAGCCGGCAGTATGGAGAGCTGCCTCCAGATGTTAAGTCTGGTGTAGTGAATAGGGGAGGGAAGGGGTGTGGGAGGGGGCAGATCAACACCCCCTGCAGTGAGGGAGGGGGAAGGCGCTGCCTGGGGTGGCAGGGGGAGGCCGAAGCC